CAAATTTTGTACACAAAAAGGTAAACCATATAAAGCTATATTAAAAAAAAAAAAAAAATGTAACTTGTGAGGGTTCATTTCTGGTGTCAAGAATTGTTCAATATATTAAATAGAAAATTACCTTATCATTAACTTGTATACGAAAACGGAATCCGTTACTTTGTAACAGATCTTCGTAGTCCAACGGCTGGACGATTTTCAGTGAGCCTGTACCATCGTTGTTGCGAACCATAGTGAATTTATCAGCACCATAACCGCTATTTTCAATTACCTAAAAATTGCAATTTATGTTATATTTGATATGGGTTTTATAAATTAAGGTAGTGATGAAATATTAAAGTATTGTCAGCTAATTTTATACCTTATATTGGAACTTATTTGTCTCGTCTTCGTCGTGGACCGTTACAGTCAAAATAGGAGTTTCTGGTAGATTTGCACCGTCAGTTTCATCAACTTCTGTCAACCATTCTTCTTTGGTGAATTGTGGTGGCATATCGTTGATATCCTTCACTCGTATTGATGCTGTACCTGTACCTTTTAGCCCTCCGCCATCCATAGCTACAACTTGAATAGAATAATCCGGTGTTCGCTCTCTGTCCAAACAACACACAGCTGTCTTGATCACACCCGTATCGGATTCAATTTCAAATATTGGTGTGCCAGTTTCTTCTTCAATAACATTTTTCTCTATCGAGTATATTAGTTTGGCATTAGTACCTTCAGCTGGATCGTCGTAATCCACAGCCGTCATAGTCATTACCACCATTCCTAAGATGAAATAAAGCATAAAATGAGGAAGTCACTAGTAACAGTTGATAATGATCGATGGATCATAAAATCGTTAATTTTCTATTATTTTTAATAAATTATCTAAATTATCGTCAATTATCTAAAATTAAGATAATTGAAAAAAAAAAATTACCAGCCGTTCCATTCTCAGTCACATTGCCCCAGTAAACACCCTGTGGGAACAATGGAGCGTTATCGTTGATATCCTTTAAATTCACTTGCACGTCCGCATATCCTACTAAGCCTTCGCCGCCTTCATCTTGAGCAAAAACAGTAAATCTCCATTGAGGTCTACCATTTGGTTGGTCTCTATCTAAGGGCTATAAATAAACATTGAAAATTTATTAATAATACCATTGAAGTATTATAAAATATATCTTATTATAATTACTTTGAGCACAAATATTTCACCGGATGTGCGGTTTATATCAAATTTACTATTGGCTGGATTATCGGGATCTATTCCCTGACCGGTGAGAAAATATACAATGTTTTGTGGACGATCCTTATCACCATCAGTAGCTGTAACCTAATTATAAGAGTAATTCGTTTAAATAAAAATTAAGTAATCTCAATGTTGCATTTATTTAGAATCGGGGAATGATAATTGCAATATAGCGACTAATATTATCTACTCTTCTAAAATTAAAACTTGTGCTGATGAATAAATAAATAAAAAAAAAA